CACATCTCCAACATTTTGGTTGCAAGTTCGGATACATGCAAGACAATTTTTGAGGGTCCAAGTGCCATCTATAAAACATTTTATAAAAATTTTCTCTTAAATTCTGTGCCTGAGTGAACTTGACATTTCTTACCCAAATTTTCTCCCAAGTTTCCAATTTAATTGGTTCTTGGATATTTTGAGCCCATTTAATCATACAATCTTTAACCAATTCCGTTTCCGAATCAAATTCTATCAAAACACTATATATTCTCCTAATATGGGCTCTACTTTGATCTTTAATCTATTTTATCAAGTTCACATCTTCTACCATTAAGCCCAATTTTTGGTCTATATTCTGCTTTTGACTACATTAAAAAAATGAGAAGGGGAGCAATGCTATATCCCCGTGGTGGCGAACCTATGGCACGGGTGCCACAGGTGGCACGCAGAGCCCTCTCTGTGGGCACACACGCCGTCACCCCAGTCCTAGGCCTTCAGCTGGGTTTTATAAAACCTTTTCGCTTTAGGCCTCCGCCGCCCTGTGCAAAAAAAAAAAAAAGGTTCAATCAATTTCAACTTCTCGCACAAAAAAAAAGATCTCGCAAAGTTGGAATTGATTGATCGAACTTTTTAGTCCCACCCAGTCTGCCATTACCACCGCAGCCACGCCCACCCAATGGGCCATGCCCACCCAACTGGCCACACCCACGCAATGGGCCACGCCCACCCAGCACCCGACAATACATAAGTGGATTTTGGGTTGCAGTTTTGGCACTCGGTCTCTAAAAGGTTCGCCATCACTGGATATCCTTTCTGTTCTGAGGAAAGAACCCTGTTTTAGAGTTGGAGCTCTGAAGCAAGTCTATGTGGAAATGAAAACACACACAAATCTAAGCTTTCTGTTACTCCAAATTTTGGGGTTGGGGATATTGGGAGTACCCATTAGTAAAATCCTTGGCAGAGATTCTTGTTGTAGACAATGAACTACTGAGTTCCATTTTCATGTTCCTCTGTGCAGTGTTGTAGTACGTTCTTACCTTATTCTAATCCAGCCACTGCTTTTCTGTAGCAGCTCAGCTCTTGAAGAATTGAGATCTAAGGCACTGAATGATCAGTTAGATTTTAAAAAGGAGGAGTTCACCAGGAGAATGGCAGTTTCTGCTGCATTTTAATCCATTGTACTTGGAGCAGGCCAGCAGCTTCTCCATAGGT